GGCCTTGGGAACGAAAATCCAAGTTGATGCACACACCCCCATCATCATCAGTGAAGAAGAGCTGGTATGTGAACTGTTACAGGAGCTTGACCCCTACAGATTGATGTGCCCTGAGGGTGTTAAGAGAGATGGATGGAGCTGTTGGGAGGCCGCTCACCCTAATCTTTGAGAAGTTGTGTAAATCAGGGGGTGCCCTAGAAGACTGGAAGAAAGCAAAAGTCATCCCCATCTACAATACTTGTTCAAAGGAAGAGCCAATGAAATTATAGGCTCATCAGTCTTGCTTTAGTCCTGGGAAGGTTATGGAGCAAATCCTCCTGGAGGCTGTCACAGGTCAGATGAAGCACACAACTGGTAACAGCCAACATGGATTCACCAGGGGCAAATCATGGTTGACAAATCTGATGGTCTTCTATGACAAAATAACCTTCCTAGTGGATGTGGGGTGAGTGGTGGCTATTGTCTACATGGATTTCTCTAAGGCTTTCATACAGTTTCCCACAGCCACATCCTAAAGAAACTGATGCATTATGATCTTGTCTGTGCAGTGGTTGGGGAACTGGATGACTGGCCCCACTCTTTTTCCAAGTGGTGATCTGTCATTAGTTGGATTGGAATAGTCTTCTCAGGGAAGTGGTGGATTCCCCAACATTGGACACTTTTAAGATTCAGCTGGGCAGCATGCTGGGACATCTTGTTTAGACCATGCTTTTGTCAAGAAAGGTTGGACCAGATGACCCTTGAGGTCCCTTACAACCTGGTATTCTATGATTTATGAATCTTCAGGAAACAAGGTGTCTACCACTCACATAACTGGTTGCTAAAGACACTAATCCAGATATTTTGCTTTTCATAGCGTGGCTACTGCAACATTTGCATACAATTTTGTGGTTTGGATTAAACCCTGGTAGGCAGCTAAGCCAGCCCCAGCACACTGTACAATAATATTGTTTCCAATTTAGTAATGAAAATGACCATTCCTGTCATAGCTATTTTGGTTGCTGAAGACTATGACTGTCTAAATGAAGCAGCATTCAAGACAGCTACACCATACTGCAGGGAACATATGAACGTACATGCCCTATGAAAACATAATTTATGCAAAGCAAAGGAAACTTTTGAGGATACAAAACATGGTATGAAAATTGGAGACACATCAGCTGCCTTTGGATGCCAGCACTGCAAATTTTCTCAACTGCACTTTGCAGTTATCAAGCTAGCATTAACAAATATACATTGAAGGCCAGAAGCAAACAAACTGTAGTGGCATGGAGCTCCTGAAGGCTATATTTCCCTGCTAAGAAGCAGTATGAATTGACCCATGTTGCTATGACCAAAATTATTGGCATATTCAAATTAGCTAATTTAACTGTATTTTGGGTTTCTCTATGCTACAGTGTTGTTTACCACATAGACACTCTTGCCTGTGTCCTGGTAAAAAATTGCTAATAGGGTAGTACAACTATTTCAAATATCAGCTTTGTATCTTAACCTTCTTGGATGCGCTGTGCATTTGGGAAGCTGGAAGAGAAATCTAGTAAAGACTTCCAATCTCTAGCAAATCAAGAGTTGTTAACACTCCATGCTACTCTAGGCAAAAGAGGTCATTATATTCATTTTGAAATATAGATCCACTGATTTTTTTTAATCTACAAAAAATAGACGCATCTAAAAAAAGTCTTTCTCTGTTGTTCACAACTAGTTTTAGTTTAATACATTTAAAACTTAAAAACTGCAGACTTAACCACATATATTGATGTCTACTATAAAGAATATGTATTGAATTTAATATTGCCTCAATTAAGTATCTGCATTTCCTCCGTAACTTTTCATTTACACTAATGCATTTATCGATGAAAGTATTTTTCTGTAGATATGCAAAGCAATTTAAAAAATTTTGTTGTGGAGAAACCAACAAGTATTTAGCACCAGTGTGAAGATTTACAGGACAGCATAGTACAACAGAGCCAGGTTTATAAAAATACCAAATTCCTTGTTGTGGAAATATTCCCTGGTACCTAAGCCTGGCTTGAAGCCCCAGCCGCTCCTGACATCTGACAGAGGTTTCACATCTCTTTTCTGCCCCATCAGGAAAAGAGCCTAGTCCTGCTGGGAACTTGGATCAATTTAGCTCATTCTAATGAATCTTTATGGGCATAGAAGAAAGAATATCCCAGTGGTTAGCATGGTAGCCACAGGCTACTTCTGTGATCTTTAACAATTCTGCCTCTAAGTGACTGCTCAAGAATGCAGTAAGTAGTCAGTAGGATTTCCAGAGACACTTACGTGCCTGTTTGCCATAGAGAACAATAGAAATCAGGCACCTGGTGCATTCAAAATCCCTGTGTAGGTGCCTATAGCCGTGTCTAGACTGTAGAGTAGTTGCATTCCAGGGCTCTATGCCTTGTGTGTACAGCTTTCCTTCCCATGGAAACCAAGGCACAGAGTGGGGAGAGGGGGATGCTTCACTCAGAGATTACACTTTGACACAGCTGACTCACTGGGAAGCAGTCCTGCAGCCCTTCCTACATCTTTATGTATCTAAGCAGTTTTAAGGTTCTAAACAAAGAGTCAAAGTGCGTTAAAAATCAAGCTCTTTATTGCTCTGGGACTTGTTTCTCCATCAGTAAGATAGAGACTGCAATTCTTTTCTCATATGGCCATTATAAAGAAAAATACCCCAATGGCTTTGCAGCACTCAGAAGCCATAAAAACACCAACCAAGAAGTGCATGACTCTTGGTCTATGCAGGGTCTGTATTACCAGCCAGGGAAGAGAAGTTAAGGTCGTACTAGTCCTCCTATTCATGTGCTTTGTCCAGCATGTAACTCCTCATTCATAGTGCAGTAATGTTCTTCCCTGTGATGTGAGCAATAGGTACAACCTTCACAGAATGAAATGGTGTCACTAACCGGCTGCTTCTGCATGACTTTTCCATCCCCAGTTGCTATACAAATTCTCACTGAGAACTGCACACAAACATTTGACCTACCTTGGATTTCCATTTCACCAAAATAATGTCCAACTTAATCCCAATAAATTCTATGGCTAAGCTTCACTTTTGCACTGAACTGTGGGAGTTATTTATAGCTATAAATGAGGATGATTTTTGAGAATACTGTCTCTATAGAAACTGGTGGTGGACTAGACCAAGGAGGTTTCTTAAAGGAAATTCCCTGCTCTTTTCCCTTCATAGATGATGCCAGAAAGAGGTTGAATTCCATCCAGGTAGGGAAGGATGTATTTGACATATTTGGTATTATTAATCTCTCTTCCATGAGTAAAAATGTAAACATTTACAATTGACTATTTACTTACATAAAAGTGTTTTTTTTCAATTGTATTTCATCTGCATTCATGCTTTCATTTCACTTACATTCCAAAAAACCAAGGGAAATTCCAGAGCACACACACAAAATTGTATTAAGATGGTGTTAAGGTTGCTGACTCTCATTCCTAAATAACACAAAAACTAAAAGCACAGGAAATCCTGAGTTAAGGCTCTTTCACAAACTTTGGACATAATTTCCTTTTTCATAAATAATACTTCCTTCAGTGCTGGTGGAATCAATTTGTGGCTGGCTGTTCTGGCATCGTGACAAAGATGTGGCAGCAGAATACAGCATTTCTTTTCCACTTATATGTGTGGTATTACCATAAGGCCAAACCTTTTAAAAGCAAGTAGTGATTTTGACTACTTAACGCTGAGATGTCTGAAGTTCTCTGATTTTTGGAGATTGCTGCCAGAAGGAAAACTGGAAATCATTTTAAAAGATTCGAAAATCCTACATGGAGTAGGAATCCCAATAAAAGATATTCTTTCAGGTAATTGCCAGTCATGGTCAAATTGCTTCCTCTATAGAGATTTTAACATCTTTCCCATCCCTAATGATTCACTTTTCTGAAGACATCTCATGAAATCCAAGTATTACAATAAACATCAGCCTTTCCCTGAAGGGAACTCCTGTTGTGAAAAATAATAGTAAACTACATTAGCATGTTTTCTGTAACCAAAAGAGTCTGTGTTGAAGTGGAATCATTAAGAGCCGTTCACCTACTGAGGCGCTGTAAGTTTCTGGGGCGGGTTCCATACTTTGAGGCCTGTCAGTGGATTGCACTTGCTGCTGGGGAAGGAAGCAATAAATGTTTAGATGCTGATAGCAACATTCCTAGCTATTTTAGAGCAGGAAGTTGACAAGCAACATGTAGCTGGAACAGCAAAGAATGTCCTAGTAGTCACTCTGAATTTGCTTACTGCTTGGAACTAGCCTAGACCAGCAAGGACAGTGCTGCAACTCATGTGATATCCACCATTTTGTGTTTTTTCACTCTTATGTGACAAAAATACACCCCAAACCAAAAAACAAACTTTGCACACTCTGACACTGTTAAGGCACCACATAACCTGATAGCAAAGCTATAAATCACACCCATTGCTTCAGCATCTCGAGATGTTTTAAAACATATTGAACGGAATGTTCTAACATCAAATATCATGCGGTTTTCAAGGCTTTCCTTAACAATATAAGCTCATTTATAGAGCAGCAAAACCAACTGATACCAATGAAAATTATATATACACTGAAAATACTCTTGTTCACACAGAGTAATAACTGACTTGATGAACAGTCCATAGTTAAGTTATTCTCATTTTATATTGCAGCTAAGATGATGCAGCAATGCAGCTGAAGGGGTGGAAGAAGTCCTGTACCCCAGTTAGCCTATGGCTAGATACTATCCCTGCTCCCTGCATATTGTACCTAACAACAGTGTACCTGCAAGGTGAGCCAGTTCAACTGGATGATCCTGTGGAATAATAACTCTGAAAAGGAAAAAAAAAGACACAGTTCCTCACTGGGTCAGGCAGCCACATCAGGTCACACTGAAGCTGCACAACTTAGATCTGGTAACAACAGCTGGGGGAGAGAAGGGCAAAGCAAGACCATGCTTTCCAGCAGCTGCCATCAATAAAGGCCCTTAGCTATAGCATAAAAAATTACCCTCCGCCTAACTGGAGAGTATGGTGCAAGCTGGTATAAGGACAGCTGGAATACTTCTCTTCATGTACAAAAGAAAGCAGTGGACCAGACGACAAACAAAACACAGGGCCGGTACCCCCTTATCCGGCATGCTGAAAGCAGGCTGGGGTGGACCACTGAGAAGAGCTGGCAAGGCCCTAATTAAGTCACCAGTAGGATACAGCTGCAACAAGGCCTGAACACCCGAGGGGTTTAAAAATAGTCATTGTCACTTTGCGTTGTCACAAGAAACATATTTCAAATTAGAATGTCAGGAGCCTGCCTTTCCCATCCCATTCAGGAGCTGAACAACTGTATTTTACAGAGTCACCAAAATGCCTGTTTAGTGTAGTTCCACTCATCATAGACCTTTTCAGCAGTTTGGCTTACATGTGACAAAGAAACCGGTTGTGATGTCCACCCTAGACAAAAATGAGCAAGCCTTTGTCATCCCACCTTAGCTACTGTCCTAGAAACCCATTACAGGCCACACCAAGAAATATTCAACTCAAGTGTCATTCTTTTACCTTACTTCAGACATCTACATTAGATGAAATAGACTGTGCTCCACAAGATGCTTACTTCTTTCCCTTGACAGTAAAGGGAACTTAGGAAGACTAGCTCAGGTGTGGCTGTCTGTTTCAGCCAGCCAAAGTTAAATGAAATGTATCTCATCTGAGGAGCTGTCACCTTCTGTCCAGCTGTAGATGATGAAATACATGGTACTATGATTAAAATATTTGGGAGTAAATGTAGTGATTCTCAGAATTAGTTGGTTTTGTTACTTTTGTAACCCCATTCCATTAGTGGATTTCTCTACCTAGTTAACCTCATATCAATCACAATGTGTCAAGGCAAAGACATGTACCTTAACTAAGCACTGTAAAGGAAGAGAAAGAATACATTTTGTGGATTTCAATAATAAAATTTTATTAATTAAGGATCAGAGCAAATAATTTCAGTAATCTCTCGGCAACTGCCTTGTGTATTGCTTTGTTCAATTTAAAAGTTTGAAGAAGCGGAATGTCTACTGGTTTCCTAGGCATCTTCATGAATCTCATCATCAGGGAAATGTTGCCGTAATATTTACATGTAGTAGTCTCTAATTTATTTTAAATCTGCTCATTCTTGTTATAGTTTCCTTTACAGCAGTAAACAATCCTTACCCTGTCCTGGTATTTAGATGCTCCAAAGATTTTATGCCATTACTATACCATGCTTGATTGCCAAAGAGGAAGAGTTCAAGTGCTACTTTGTGTTTGCCCTGTGCTGAGCCTTCAACACGTTTCCTTCATTTTCGATATTGCTAGTACTTTGTCAATGTATACAATATGCACTGTAACTGTCTTAATTTTTTTAAAGTAGTATGAAAAATACAGAATTCAAACCCAGTTGATAAATCAATGGGAAAAGAGCTCAAATACATAAGAGACTTGCTGTACCTTGACAAGCAGAGGCTGTGCATCAGCTGAGCACTCAGTATCCAGACTCTTAAATCCTAATAAATGCAGTGGAAAAGGCACCAGCAATGGTATGGGTCTCTGAATCCAAAGTCTTGACACTGGCAATACGTTTGGTATTCGTCTTAAAGTCTCTGCTTCTGGTTTAACTTCATAACATAGTATAGATGTAAGTAAATATTCACTTCATATGTAAGTGAAGTGAATTGCATTTACAGTTACAGAAAAGGACTTGATTATAGTACAAAAACACCTCTAAAGTTTAGAAACTGTAGCAGAAATCACCAGTTTTACCCGAGTTTCTTTCAATCTCACAAATTTTCAATCACTTTCCTGATTTTGTGAGACCTGATTCAGGATCTCTGCATGGCTGGAGTTATCCATATGGCAATAATTGCAGCGATTTCACCATAAATAAAATAATGTCCTTTTAAATAAAGACATAGCTTTCAAAGTAGCTTCATTTCACCCTCCTACAACAGCTTTGGTATGAAACTTGACATGGCAGTGACAGAGGAGCCATGAGTTTTTCTCTAATGACCATGAAGATAGTTTTTTTCTTCAAATTTTAATGGATGTCATATTATAGACAGGCATGGATGCACACAATGCCTCGCAAGGTTGTCCAACATTTTGCATTATAAGACTGTTTTCAGTTATTTGTAACTTAGCCAAAGTTTAATTATTTGCACTGAAATTTTCCACACTGAGCATCTGCCTCAGGCTGCATTTGTTTTTTTTGGAAACAAATAACTCAGCCATTTCTGAGATCAAGGCAAAGGGAAAATACGTCATTTTCTTCATAAAAACCAACAGAGTTCTGCTGAGATGTCTTAAGGCTACCACAACTTGTAGAATGGGCTGAAATGTTGTCAGCGGCTTGCCTGTATTTTGAGAATGTACCTCCCTCCACCTCTTAACAGAATTTTGGCTAAGTTCTAGTCCTTTGGGAAAAAAAAAAAAGCAAAGCAAAATCAGTTCACACATGCTCAGTACAGAAGTCTCAGGTGTCAGCAGTTGCATTTCTCAAAGATTCTGTAATTATAGAACATGTTCCAGAATGAGGCTGAGCAGGATTTTCCTTGCAACTACAGCTCTACGTCATACTGGGCTACAGTCCAAGACGGAGTGCAGAAGCTTTATTTCTCCCACCTACTCCAAACAGGAAGCAAGAAGGAGGAAACTGCACTATTTAAAAGCAGAGCTTTCAAAAAGCTGATCTGCCCAGAGATGAGGAGCAGACAGGAACCAGGATGCCAGAAAGTAAAGACAGTGCAAGAAGAGGGAGCTGGGATAGTTACAGTGACAGAGACAGTAAACTGCACACGGAAAAGGAAGTGAAAAGATTCAGAGCCAGCAGGAAATAAAAAAAAAAAAAAAAATAAAATATGAGTTGTTGAAGTGTTGGCAACTGTGAGGAAGACTGAAGGATCCAGTCTGTCTCAGGAAGGGATTGATGCTGGACATCAGTCTACAGAGAAATCTATGGTGGAGAAGGAAAAGGCACCAGGAAAGACAGAACAGATTAAAAGCTAGAAAGGAAAGGAACTAGTGGAAGGAACTGAAACGTACTGAGACTTGGAAATGGAGCTGGAATGAGGACTGAGATTAAGGAGAAAATAAGATTGAGGCAATGACTCTTAGAGCCAGAACTGGTTATGCTTTTCAGGAATAAATTCAAGCATCTGTGTTCTGTGGATGTGCATTCAATCTGGACCTTGTAGTGGAGCCCAAGCCCATATCTTCTTCAACAATCCAGTGACTGTCAGAAAATACACCAGAAACTGTCCATCAAAATGTTCTATCAATTTTTTGTAGTACACATAGAGGACAGAAAATACTATTCCTAGTTAATCTGTTAGTTTAAATGGCAGGAGACTATGTGGGGCACCTACATTTTCCTAATCCATTCATAAAACCTGCACATTTAGGCATGACAGATGGAACATGTGGGAGATTTATTTTCTAGTTTGGATCAAAAAAAGAGAAGCTTATCTACACATAGAAAACTATGATGGAACAATTTTTAGACTCCAAACCAAGAGATCATAAGTTAGGAAATAGAAAAAATAAAGCTATACAATCATGGAGACTGTATATTGGCCCCTTTGGGTTTAGGTGGACACACTTCTTAATTGTACAATTATTTATCTGCTTGATTTATTTAACAACGGCACTATACACCTTCTCTCTCAAAATCCCTCTGTAATTCTTAGCAAGTTGTCTACTCTAAAAGCTTTTCATACGTGGTGCCTCTTTTTTTGAGTGCCTCACCTGAGTTCCTATGATCTGGCTTACAGAACTGTTAAACACTTGAGAAGTCAGCAGGAATCACAACTTGAATGAATAAATAAATTGCTATATTAAGTCTCAAGATCATGCACCTTGAACTAAGCACCCCAAACTATTACACAGTTTTACACTTCTCTCGGAATAAAACAGGAGTAGCTTTATCACTTTAACTGCTAGAGGTGTATCATGGAAGTAAACATATTCATATTTGTGAGGTACTCAGAGAACACAGTGATAAGAACCACTGAAAAGATCAAGAGGAGATTAATCATTCTGTTGTCAGATAAATTTTTAATATTGTGAAATAAACAAGGCAGAGGGACTCATACTGAACAAGGACAAGAAAACAAAATATCAGATATAATTTTAAAACTACCTGTCACTCCTGAGTGCTGACTGAGGCTTGGATCTTGAAGAAAAAAGTCCCTATGTCAGTATGTAACTAAAGGCATTTGCACAGGGAGATGAGTAAAGTTTGCATACAGCCTGACTTCTGGCATTTTCTGCCTTTGGATTACTTGACTTTGCAGCTTTAATGACATTCTTAAAGCCTATCATTTAATATGTTTTATACAAATATACAGAGCCCTAGGAATCTTGCTTATTATAATCACCACTATCACCAAAACCCCAAGATGGCATTATAGTTTTGTTTTACAAAGATGGTTGAAAATAAACATACTTCTGTTTTTAATGCTTTATGTAGTTAAAAGGTTTCAAAACCTTTTCTTTCTTTCTTCTTTCTGTTTCCACCTCTCTCCTTCATTCTTTGTAAATGCCTTCTTTCTTCAAAAACTGCAGGACTAGCTCTGGCTGAAACAGCTGCAGAAACAGCTTGGCTTCAGACATTTACCACAGCAGATTTGCTTAATCAAACAACCATCAGAGCAGCTTTGTTCCAAGAAGTTGCCAAAAGCCTGTCATGCTACAACTTCAAAAAGCTGCTCCAGCAGCTTTGCTGCACACCAGAGGTGCTCATCATGCGTGGAGGTGACATCATACGTTTCCAAGTAGGAAATCCAATGATATTAGTGTTCTGTACATTTCTGTGGTGCAGTTTTACCCATCTAATAAAGGCATTGGTAGTAATAAATGTTACATTTTAGAGTCCACAGCCGTTTTATCTTGTTTATATCTTTTACAAAAAAAATGTGTTACTTTGTCCTAGATACCTCCCACAGTTGGCCTCTGTCCAAACACAAATTATTTCACAGAGTTTGAAGCAAACTCTTTCAACAACTTTGAACAGGGAATTGGAATCATAAAAGCAACAGAGAGCCCTCAGAATAAAAGAGTAGGAAGCATGCTGCATGGTCATTGAGTTTCAGCCATCATCGACTACCACATTTTTGTGGTTTTGA